CGTCTCTACTAAAAAAATACAAAAAACTAGCCGGGCAAGGTGGCGGGCGCCTGTAGTCCCAGCTACTCGGGAGGCTGAGGCAGGAGAATGTTGTAAACCCGGGAGCCAGAGCTTGCAGTGAGCTGAGATCCGGCCACTGCACTCCAGCCTGGGCGACAGAGTGAGACTCTGTCTCAAAAAAAAAAAAAAGAAAGTACTTGCTTATTATTTTGACTTCCTTCATATTTTTCTTGGGTAAGACACATTCATTAGCTGTTTCCCAAGGGAAATTTCTTTCAGTAATTTCATCAACTCTTAGGTATGAAATAAATCTACTTAACAATATTAAACATACTAAACATAACTCCTTCCAGAGAACCTATAAAATGGCTTACGGAAACATTTTGGAACTCTGTGAAAGTGTATTTTAAATTTGAAAAGCCTATTCTGAATAAATAGGAAGAAAAGGGTAACTGTAATATAGTTTAATGATCTCTTGGGGTTCCTTTTATTGAAATTTGAAATGCAATCTGGGCTCTGCCAACCCTCCATTTAAAAATCATAAAAGTATAATTATACTTTCTGTTGTCACAAAAAGTCAACCCATGCTAGTGCAGATAAGAAGAAGAAAATAATATCTAAAACTATAATTAGTGACTGCGGTAGCTTTTGCCCTTACTAGAATGTAAACTACAAATAAGAAGTGCTTTTTGCCTATTTTGGTTACTGATTTATCCTCAACACCTAGAAACAGACACTCAATTAATATTTGTTAAAAGAATAAACAAAATGGTATAATTTCATACCACAGGAGATATCTGTCTGTTTAACAAATTATCCTGGATATTTTGAACTTTAGGTACAAAAGGTTTGGATATATTTAGAAGACGACAAAAGAAGTGGCTAAACTTCTCTGCATAAGAACAGAAATTCTGAGTTGTGAGGAGATGGAAGAAAGAGAAGAAAATTCGACATGATAGTAGGAGGCCAGGGCTGTAAGTAGAATGCTGGCCACTTAGAACACAGATGTTCCTCCAAATTCCCCACAGGAATCAAGATGAACCAAACAGTTCACAGCAGGCCAGTACTTGCGGTAAGAAGAGCTAGAAAAGCTAGGAAAATTACAAAAAGCAGATTTTTAAAGGCATCAGAGAGCTTCAGAGGCAAAATAGATTGGAACTGTAAGTCCAGAGACAGAATCTTTCAAAAGGAACTGAGGCCTTGTCCTGAGGGCATCTGCTGATTTGGGGTACAGGCTAGTGGTGAATATGGCTTGGACCAAAGGCTGCTGGGGGACAGAAACTAGTGGAGCTTTTGTTGATCACATGGGATTGAAATAACAAGATAGGGACTTGGGGGGCTTCAAACACACAGCTGATTTTCCCCTCAAAACACGGTAACTTCCAAAACTGCTCGGGGAAAGAGATTAAAGAGCTGAACCAAAAACTTGTAAAAAGCAGAGCAGGATCTTCTGTAATCTCTTGGTACTTAGGAAACTAACACTGGCTGGACACAGTGGCTCACACCTGTAATCCCAGCATTTTGGGAGGTCGAAGCAGGCAGATCGCTTGAGCTCAGGAATTTGAGACCAGCCTAGGTAACAAGTGAAATCCTGTCTCTACAAAAAATACAAAAAAAAAAACAGCCGGGCACAGTGGCTCATGCCTATAATCTCAGCACTTTGGGAGGCTGAGGCGGGCAGATCATGAGATCAGGAGTTCAAGACCAGCCTGACCAACAAGGTGAAACTCCATCTCTGCTAAAAATACAGAAACTAGCCAGGTGTGGTGGCAGGCGCCTGTAATGCCAGCTACTCGGGAGGCTGAGGCAGGAGAACCACTTGAACCCGGGAGGCAGAGGACGCAGTCAGCCAAACCTGGTGTGTATGTGGAAGAGGCACAGGTGGATGTGGGAGAGCTAAATAACTTGGTACTTGAAAATAAGAGTTTCTAGATGCAGAGAGCTCACTGAGTACTTTAAGGTACTCAGTTAGGAATGTAAAAGTTGGTCGTGAGTACGTATTGCTTATTAAGTCAATAGTGGTCATCTACCAAGCAATAATATATATCACTTTTAACATATATAGTAAATTACACCTCCCAAGAAAATCTTCAGTAACAAGAAATATGTCTGCGAGTGAATAAAGTGTATATATGCATTTTGAATATTATAAAACAATATATGTTCAGACACACTCCAATAATGAGATGTATCTTACCATGGAATAATGCATTTGTTGCCATAATATTTTTCAGCAACCTGTTGTAGCTTCAGGATACGCTCTGCTTGAATCTGAAAAAGTGTCTTACAGGATGGCAAACCAACATCATACATCCCCTTAGGATATGCAACGCCGAGTCTTGTCCCCTGCCCACCAGCTAGAAGAAGAACTGCTACTTTATTCTGAGAAATCTGGAAAAGTCCTAGAAAAGAAAACACTTGTATCACAAAACCTCTACAATTCAACACTTTAGTATTAAATATACATAGGTAGCAGCAAAGACTCATCAAAAGGGAAGTAAGGCTATACAGCTGCCTTGTCCTGAGGTCATTTGCTGATTTAGGGTACAGGTGGAGAATCTGGCTTGGACCAAAGGCTGCTTGCTGTTTTATTGATCACACGGGACTGAAATAACAAGATAGGGGCTTATCGACGTAAGGCACAGAGAACACAGAATCTACATAGAATCGTGGATGACTACCTTGCTAATAAAAACTTTTCTATTATTAAAACAATTAAATTTACATAACCCAACAGAACACCAAACGATGAACGATGTATTTTAATGAACTAAATATTTTTGCTGATAATGTCAGGAGGTAAGAAGCAAGAGATATTATAAAGGTTTCGCAAAAATTTGATGACTGATTGATGTGGCAAGTCAAGAAAAGATAAAATAAAGAAAATACCAAAGTTTCAGGATGAATGATGACACTATCAAATTACCTCCAGCCTATAATAAATAATCAATGAGCATGCAAATATAGCAGGTAAGCTATATAAAGAAAATAAATCTTCAGTTAGGAAAGCAGTAAAGTATAATGGGTGAGAACTCAGGCTCTGAAGTTAGGATTTCTTGTTTGAAACTCAACTCAATAGAATGAGCCTGGGGTATCACCTGCAATGGGCATCAGAAGTCTTTGTAGGGTGATGGAAATACGCTTATGTTGATTGGGATGGTAGTTACATGGGTATATATTTGTTAAAACATAAAATTGGCTGGGCACAGTGGCTCACCCCAGCACTTTGGGAGGCCGCGGCAGGTGGATCACCTGAGGTCAGGAGTTCGAGAGAAGCCTGGCCAACATGGTGAAACCTGTCTCTAATAAAAATACAAAAATTAGCCGGGCATGGTGGTACACACCTGTAGGCTGAAACAGGAGAACTGCTTGAACCCAGAAGGCGGAGGTTGCACTGAGCCGAGATCACGCCACTCCTCTCCAGCCTGGGAGACAGAGTGAGACTCAAAAAAAAACACAAAAACATAAAACTACAGGACAGGCAGATCATGTGAAGCCAGGAGTTCAAGACCAGACCAGGCTGGCCAACATGGCGAAGCCCCATCTCTACTAAAAATACAAAAATTAGCCAGGCATGGTGGTGCATGCCTATAATCCCAGCTACTCAGGAGGCTGAGGTATGAGAATTGCTTGAACCTAGGAGACGGAG